TCTCTCTCTCTCTCTCTCTCTCTCTCTCTCTCTCTCTCTCTCTCTCTCTCTATCGTCTTCGGCTCCCTCTCGCTGTTGGCAATTGCACATTTGATCTATTTGTCGAACATTTCCAGTTGAGTGCAGAGCAGCTCGCTCGACAATTTGGCTTGCATTTCTTTTTATTATGCAGCAGCAGCAACAACCAACACACACACACACACACGCACATACTGTGTGTCTGTGTGTTCAATTCACATTTGAGATACATTTGTATCTATTACTTCCGCCGCATTTGGCAACACATTGGCCGCCAGCTCTGTACGACAGAACTGCAAACAAACAAACAAACAACCAGACAACTAACAAATGCAACAACACCAACAACAACAACAACTTTTTAGCGGATGTTTGCTTTAAAAATTTTGCAATTGGCAATTGAAATGCAATTGACAAACGCAAAAGCCAAATTGAATGCAATTGATACACTGCTCAAAAAAGTTGTAGTAGTTGTGTTGTGCCTCGTTGCTATAGTTGTTGTTGTTGTTGTTGTGTTGTGTTGTTTGTGCATAAGCCAAAGAGCAATAAAAGCAATGCGCTTAGCTATTGCCGGCAACTGGTGCCAAATGTGCTGAAAGAGTAAGGGGAAAAAATACATACATGACATATGCAAATGCGAATAGAGCGGATAATATAAAGGATATGGGATACATACGTATATGAGAGATGATTGATATTACATGTGAGCCAAAAATGAAACATGGAACTATGCCATTCGTATAGCTCAACTATACTCTATTCCTATATATATACTATCTCATAGGAACTACAATAAGTCGATGTTAGAGAACATTCCAAAGGTAGGAAAAAAGTAAAGCTCTTCCCTTCCATGTCTATATAAAACACTATCATCTCTTAATAGGTATTTCCCACACGATTTTTATTTGATTTTTGTTTACCTAAAGATTTGAAAACTCAGAGAACAGTTATACCCAGCAGGTGCTTGATTGAAGCCTATCGAATTCAATGACCATAACTAGACTTGGGCTTAGCTCAGGCATATTTACTAATGTATATGTATCGACAATTTTCATAGCTTTCATTAGCTGAATATAAGAATTGAGAAATTTTTATTTTCAGAATTGAATCATATTTAGAGGTCGACAACAAAGTAGAGCAAGCAAAGACAGCAAAAACCAAAAGGTATCTAAAAAGCATGAATATACCAAAAATTCATTTAGTTTTTCATTTAGTTGTTTAGAAGAAGACTCTCAGATACCCTAGATTTTTTATTTGTATGTAATTTGATTGAATGCTAGAAAACCAAATTATAAAAAATGCGAGGAGAGAGAGAGAAATAGAAAAGGCAGAGAAAAGAAAAGAGAAATAGACAAAGTGGATATGCAAGGCGAGGGATATGGATAGTGAAAGAGCAAACAGAGAAGGAAGTGCAGAGAGCGAGAGAGAGAGAGAGAGAGAGAGAGAGAGCGGGCCACAGATATGTCATTGATTCTAGTTTTATGTATTGCTCTATAGAGAAATGAATTAAACCTATAGATATTGATAGACAAATGGATATCTGATTTATCGATAGAAATATCGATATATATAGTGATAGGGAATGATATATAGATAAGTGGATAGATCTATGGATAAATGTAAAGCTAAACAGTGTGAATAGTATAAGAAAGGATAATGCAAAGATAAAGATAAACAAGAAAACGAAATTCATATATTTTTATACACATATTTATTAAAATATAAATTGGTAGTCATAAGTTGTCAAGCTCCCCTCGTGCGTATAGAATAAGTCCCCAATGATTGTCCGCTAGCTAAAACTTAGAATTACTACTGAATTTCCCTCCATTTGATTCGCCAATCTAATCTAATCTAATCTAATCTCTTCTCTTCTCGATCTCTCCCCCTCGCTCCTGGCCGTTGTAGCCAATCACACACGCGATGACGAAACGCACTCGGTGGCGCTGTCGGACACGACGACCACGCCCCGTTCACGACACGCGTACGTGGACGATGCGTACGGTAATAGCTTGCCACCGGATCTGCTGGCCTTCCCGGCCCGTGTGCCACCCACCTCGCCCTCGATGCAGTCCTCGCAGTCGAACATACCCGATCAGGTGATCTACGGCATACGCTCCCCACCGCCACCGCTGACCAGCCCCGTCTACGCGCACATGACGCCCCACGGCATCTACGGCACCACCACCACCACCACGATGGCGGCCCACAACGGCTTCATGACTCTGCAGCATCCCAAGTCCCGTAATCTCGCCCTCATCGCCACCGCCAACAGCCGCCACCAGCAGCAGCAGCAGCAGCAGCAACACCTGGCCGCGGCGCTGCACCATCAGCCATCCGGCTCCTCCTCGGCCTCGCCCTTCCTGCCAGCGCCCGTTGTCTACTCGCCGGCCTCCAGTGCCGTCGTGATGAAGCAGGGCTACATGACCATTCCGCGCAAGCCGCGCGTGCCCAGCTGGGCGCCGAGCACATCCAATGCGGCTGCCGCGGCGGCTGCTGCTGCCGCTGCCGCCGCTCAGCATCAGCTCGGCGAATTCCAGTCGCCCACTTCGCCGAATCCCAGCGAAACGGGCACGGCGACAACTGTGGAGCTGCAGGCGGAACCGGTCTACGATAATTTGGGACTGCGCACGACGGCGGGCGGCAATTCGACGTTGAATTTGCACAAGGCACAGGGTGGCGGCGGGTCACAGGGTGCACAGCAGCAGCAGCAGTATACAATGCGCGATCGGCCATTGCCAGCCACGCCCAGCTTGACATCGGTGGCCTCGGCCACGGCCAGCAAGATTTACGAGCCCATACACGAGCTAATACAACAGCAAGCACAGCAGCAACAGCAACAGCAGCAACAACAGCAGCAGCAGCAGCAGCAGCAGCAACAACACTTATACAATTCGGATACGGAACCGTTATATGGCGGACGTCATTACGGTATTACGATATTGCCCGGCTCGAGCATTAGCGGCGCTGGCTTGAATTCGCCTGGTGCTGCTGCGGCAGCTCCGCCAATGGCTATGGGAACGGGGGCGCCTGGGGGCGATTCGCCCAAAATGGCCAAGATACCGCCCAGGCCGCCGCCAAAGCCCAAGAAGAAAATGTCCGTCACGGCGACGCGCAGCGGCCAGGGCAGCACAAGTCAGCTGTTCGATGACGAGGGCGAAGACGGCACCGAGGTTTAATTTGGCATAAATGAACACACAGACAGATGCCCCAACACCCAGCCCCTCCACTTTTAGCACTCTCTATCACTCTCTACCCCTGCCCCTCAACTAGAAAGCGAATTCATTTGAAATCGCCTTTAAGCCCCAGCCACAGCAGCGAATTGTAAAAATGATCTAAAAATGGCCACGAGAGAGAATCCAACAAAATGGCCGACAGCAGAACTGCACGCTTAACAGCGACAGCTGCTCATTCTGCACTGCTAAGACAGCCTAACTTCACTCCTAACAGCGACAGCTGCTCATTCTGCACTGCTAAGAGAGCAGAGCTTTACTCTTAGCAGCGACAGCACTGTTAGAGCTACAATTGCAGCAGCAGCAGCGTATTAAGAGAGACAGACAGCAACGGGATGTCCTGCTCTGCCTGCTTGCTGTTATACACACACACGCACTCTCTCTCTCTTTCTCTGATCCACAGCGTGTGGATCTGTCTATCGCACGTGCCGCTAAGCGCGTGCCTTGTGTGCCAAACCGACTGATGTAGAATTTAGTAATTAAAGCGAGAAACGATACGAAACACAACACACACACAAAAGCAACAGCAAATCAAAGAAGACGAACATGTGAAGCGCCAGCAGCAGAAGCAGCGACGCCAGCAGCAGCACCGACGCAGCCACGGCAACAGCTGCTATGCCCCACAGGGTGAACCAGGCAAATATATATTGAACAAAAAGGACAGTACGTAAACAAAGTAAATAAAACGAAACAACAAAAACAAGAATACAAACAAATAAAAACTAAATAAAATACATATTAGCACAAGAGTATGTAAAAATCCCATTTTAATAATACATTAACATAAACCTTCGAAAAATTCTCTCTAAAACAAAACTTTTTTTTTTGCTAGGCTAAAAATATATATATATATATATATATATATATAATTATAAATATATATATACGAATAACGTTTACTTAAAGCTAAGCAAAACTATATATAAAAATTATATATAACAAAAATAAATTTTAAATTAATGAAAAAAAAAAAACAATTTAGAAATTTTATAAAATTGTAAATCTTAAATATATATATAATGAATATATATGTAGCATAACGAGGAATTTTTTTTAAGATTTTTTTTTTTATTAAAAATCAAGTTAATGAAAAGTAATTTTAGATGAAATTAGTGTTAAAAGCTCTATGTAATAAATGTATAATTCACTAATTTTGCAATCGCAACTAAAAGAAAAAGAAAATTAAGAAGAAATAAAAAAGATGTATAAGATATACATATATACGCATAAATGTATATCTAAATATATATATATATAGGAATTATTAATCAAGAAAAATCAAGAGGAAAAACACAATTTAAATGTTAATCAAGATCGAATATATATAGAGTATATATATATATACGTATGTCAAAATACCACGTTACGCAACACTACTATAGCGCTGTACAACACTGCAACAGTAAAACTAAAAATAATATATAAAAACGATTTCAATATATGCGCAAATTGTCAAATGTAAAAGTTTAAAAAGAGAAACAAAAAAGAAAAAAAAATAGTTAAAAATAATATTCATAGCTAAACGTAGTTAAAGGCTGGCACGAAACACCCTGTGCTTGTGCGCCTTCCCTCTCTTCCCTGATCATCTTTCACATTGTCTTCACATTACTTTAACATTGGTGCATTATGTTTAAACATTAAGTTTAATATTGTCTTAACATGCAGTTTAACATTTCTTTCAATTGAGTTTCTCTTAACATTGAGCTAAAACTTGATTCAAATGTCTTTTACATTTACTTGAACACGATCTTAACGTGCATTTAACTCTGTTTTAACATGCGCACTGAGAATGCTGATAACATGAGCTTAACATGTTGCTATAACATTCTGTTAGCATGCATTAAGCGTTCAACTTTCTTTAAGCAATTACTTAAAACATTTTAACATTTGCTGCGTTTTTTCTCTAATTTTTTTTTTTACATATATTTTATTTTTAAGAATTATTTTTGAGACACACTTTTACTGCAACTCAGTTAATTTTGATCCTATATACACGTATCTTATATTAAATACATATATATTTATACAATTTTTTTTTTTTAATATTTTTTTAATTAAAAATAAAAGTGTCACTAAATAGTTTAACTAAAAAAAATGCAAGTTAAACTAAAGTTTTTTTTTAGTGAATTTCATTTTGTTGGCCAACTGCTTGCCACGCCCACACGCCGGTTAGGTGTAAAGAGAAAATTTATTTAAAACACCAAGTATTAAATATTTTATAAACAGTTTTTATATATATTAATTTAAATTTTAAATTTATTACACTTAATTTTTTTTTTTTTTTTGAAAGGATCTCGACAAATGCTAAAAACAAAATAATATAATAATACATATATATGTATTACGTATACGTATACGTAATGATTCCTTTGCCAGCATTAAAAACAAAAAAAAAAAAAAGAAAGAAAAACACAAAAGAAAAGTTTAGCACAGAAATCAAAAAACCAGAAATATATAAAATTTTAACTCAAGCAAAAAGAAAATAGAAGTAAAGAATAAAAATTAAGTTAAGCTGTCAGCAAATAACGAACGATTAAGCATAAGAAACAAACATAAAGAGAGAAGCGAAATCGAAGCAAACGAGGAACAGATTATGAGAAGAAGAAAGGAGAAGAAAGGAAAAATTATAAATAAGTTTCATATATAATTTTTGCATTGTTTTTTCCTAACACATACAAATATTTACAATTAAAATTAAAAATATAAATATAAATAAAAAGACGAATTACAAAACAAAACAAGGAAATATTTTATTCATTTAATGGGCAAACTTTGTATTTCAGCAAACTGCTCGCTGGCTCTGCTGAGAATGCCAAAGCTCTGGACACCCTGTGCACAGGGTGTACATGCGTATATGTCTTTACATGAAGAGAGACTGCTCGCACGCCCATCGGCTATAGATACGAAACGCATACACTAATACATATAGTAAATACACACATACACACACTCATACACACATGCCCGCATACACATATGCGCGTATATAATTATGAAATGATGCAAGTTTTATTCAAAGCTTGTGCCCAAAATGAGCGAGCAGAACGAAAAGGCAGGATACAAAATATGCTAAATGCGCACGTTGTCGTCTCTCATTCTCTCTCTTTCTCGCCATCTCTGTGCACAGTGTAAACACAATTCTGTGGCTTTACCGTAACCCAAATGCAGCATGCTTAACAGCTTAACGCCTGTTAACGTAACAGCTCTTGCATGTGCTCCGCTAACATTTCTGTTACGCATCTATTAACGCCTGTTAACGTAACAGCTCTTGCATGTGCTCCGCTAACATTTCTGTTACGCATCTATTAACGCCTGTTAACGTAACAGCTCTTGCATGTGCTCCGCTAGCATTTCTGTTACGCATCTATCGACGCGTATTGAATGTTAAGCCGTGCTAAAACTACATTTGCGAGATTCCATGTTTGAAATTTGTAGCACCGCAATCTTGGCATTTGTCCCACTGTGCCAATCGCCAAGGGCTCGCTGGGCGCATCGAGTGTTGCCTACTTTTGCGGGCGCTGCGCAAATTATTAAAGTTAAGTAAGAAGAGGAAGAAGCTGCTGCTGCAGCAAAACTTTTGGCTGAAAACCAAAAATTGTTGCTGCCAACTTTATTGAAAATGCTTCTCGCAAAACTTGAGCTAAACAAAAAACTTTTTACCAATACGCTTGTCAAGAGTATTATGACTCGTTATGACCATGTTGTCCAGACCCGCCCACCAGCCCAACAGCCCCACCTCAGCCCCCAAACGTGCTCTAATTGCACGATGCTGAGAGCTGCCACAGCTGCAGGCACTTAGATCGAACGAAATGGGAAGAACTAGAAGCTCGAAGCTGTTTAAAAGTCAATCTATGCAAAGTTAATGTTAAGTATGCCATGTTAAGTCGCCGTTAAGTAATATCTGCCGCAACAAAACTAATTCGAAATGAGCTGGTATGGAAATGCGAATGCATTAGCCAAACGTATGTTAAGTCACTGTTAAAGCTTGAGTAAGACTATGTTAGGGCTTTAACGGAGTCTAACAGAGCCTCTGCTTAACATTATATGAAGCAAAAAGTAATGTTAAAGCTATTTTGAAGTCACGTTAGGTCTATCCTAATGATATTTCAAAGCAGCTCAACGTGTTTCCTGTATCAAATCAACCAGAAATCGAGCCACGAACTTTGCCCAGCTTTATTCAAGTCAAGTTTACGATTTGCATTCTAAAATTGATTAAAGGCCAAAGATTGATTTGTTATTGAGCAGTTTGGCAAGTGTGGGGTATCATCGAGAGAGCTGGGACCGGCTGCAGGCGGGGGTAGTTGCAGGGTATTGGCCAATCAATTTGATACACGAATAATCTCGACACTTGGAAAACTACTTTGGATCAAGTCAGCCAAAAACTTTTAATAGCTGCAAACCTAACCACCCCCCGCACCCCCCGCACCCCTGTCGAGTCGACTCCTAGCCACGCCTCCTTCGGTGCCTGTTCGCCTTCTGGACGTGTTTAATCAACTTTGAGAGTTTAATGGCCAACAGCTATTAGTTTGACTCTCCGCCCTCCATTCCACCGCTCCCTCTCTCTCCCTCTCTCTCTCTCTCTCTCTCTGTTGGTCTGCCTCACTCGCCCATTCGATATGCCTCATTAGATGCAACTTAAAGGACAAAATGTAAAACTTATATTGAAATCAAGTTTTCGACAAGCTTTTTACACACAGCAACATGTTAACGTTAACCTACAACCTATGTGCGTGTGTGTGTGTGTGTGTGTGGGTGTGTGGGTGAGTGGGCGTGTGCAGAGAGAGGTCGCTCGGCCAGCAGCAGGCGGCGTCGCTTTTGACAACATGTTGCCCCCGAAAAGTTTTACGAGAAATTCGCCTTAAAGACGCACAAAAAAAAAAACTTTAAATGCAACAGCAGCGCAATAAGCCAAGGAGTCTGCTCGACCAGCAGATACCCTACTTAGCTGAACAGTTGTTAAGCTTGAGTCGGCCATCGATTCCTATAGTTAAGATATATAAGGTTTTTATCAATCTTAAATAGATAGGAAATACGTGGAGTAAAGAAGTGGAGGGATAAATGGATAGACAAAGGAATCAGTAGACGGAGAAGGAGACGGATAACACGTACGATAGAACGAGAGATAGAGAAAGAGAGAGTGAGAGAGAGAGAAAGTGACAGAGGGAGAGAGACAGACAGAAAGAGTGAGAGAGAGAGAGAGAGAGAGAAAGACGAAACGAAAAAGAAAGATGAAACATAGGAATAAACAAATGGATAATCAGATTTACATGTGGATAAGCTTCTTAAGGGTTGTCAGATAATCAGACGGAGAGCTAGAAACAAGATAAGCAGATAAGCTGATAAACGATAGATAGTAGATAGTAGATAGTAGATAGTAGATAGTAGATAGTAGATAGTAGATA